CGCGGAGGGAGCAGCGGCGCCGTCGGTCCTCGTCGGGGCTCCGAGGGTGCCCGACTCGTCCCCGGCCGGGCCATGGCGGGCGCCAGGCCCGGCGTCCACGCGCTGCAGCTGGAGCCGCCCACCGTGGTAGAGACCCTGAGGCGCGGGAGTAAGTTCATCAAATGGGACGAGGTAAGCGCGGGGGGCCCACCGTTCTACCCAGTTCCTGGGACTCCCTCGTTCAAGCTCAGTCAGACGCCGGGGACCTCCACCCGAGCCTGGCCTGGCCACGGCGCCCCCCCACCCCGAAGCCACTCATGGCTGTGCTCCGGAAACTTGAGTCCCCAGTCGTGCCCGTAATGAAGACTTTGTCCCCCACCCCCAACCCCAGTCCATTCAGCTGTGTAAAATTTGGCTTTCCACTCTTTGGCCCGGAGACTTCGAACCCCAATGAATCCCGTTCCCCCCCCCCCAACACACACACGTCTTTTCACTCGCCCTTTCCACCCCTCCCTGCCTGCCGGTCTAATTCTGGTTCCCCCAACCCTGGCCTGGTCCTCAGACCACTGCCTGGCACTGGATCTGGCTGGAGGACCCTGGCTCCCAATCGGGCTCAGCGCACCCCCATTCTTCCTAGTGCCCTAGCCTGAATATTGTTCTCCATTCATCACTTTTTTCACCCTATTCTTGCTGCACCCCTTTGCCCTGCTTCAGGAGCCCATCCCAGCTCTCTGCTCAGGAGGGAGCGCGAAGTCACCCCCTAGTGGAGTCTTTGCCCCCCAAGTTCCTCCAGCCCTGGGGAACTTTGCTCTCCACTTCTTAGCATCAGGGACTTTGAACCCCAATAAATCCTTGGCCCCCCTTTCTACCTGCCCTGCCGCTGCCCAGATGCCCCGGCCCCCACCTGCGGCTCTCCGACCGGTCCTCCGCCCCACCCCCGTTTTCAGATCGCCCCCTCCTCTGCCCCCTGGGCCCCTCCTTCCCCAGGGCCTCCACCCGGCCTGCCTGAGCCTCCCCGCTGCTTCTTCCCAGTCAGGCCGGAGGCCTGGAAGACTCTGGGTTCCTTTCCGGCTGGGTGGGGCGGGTAGGCGTGGGAGCTGGGGGGAGGGGCTGGGGGCGTGGCCTGAGGTAGCAGGTGTGCCTTAGAGGGGTGCCTGGGAGCTCCAGGGACCAGGGGAGACCCCTCCCCCCCAGTCCTGCGTGCAGGGAAAAGTTTCTCCTTTTCCTTCCAGTGTGATAAACCCAAATAAGGAAGTGGGAACTAGGAGAGGGCCCTGGGGGTGGGGTGGGGGTTGCTGACCGGGACTTAGGGCTGAAGAGCAGGGGGCCTGGGCTGTTTTTGAAGGCCAGACACTGGGGGAGGGGCAGGGGAAGGCCCTGGGGTCAGTACCCACAGAACTCCCCTCTCCTCACACTACTGGGGGACCTGAGCCACAGCGCAGGGTTGGGAATCCCAGGGAGGGACTGAGGATTGGTGTCAGCACAGTGAAGTGGGGAGGCCCAGGCACCCCCAAAGTTCCAAGGCCTCCTGGCCTTTATAAAAAAAGAGATGGGCGGGGCTGGTGCAGGCCCCAGTTCTCCAGAAAAGGAAACTGAGTCTGGAAAATGGAGACTAATCCCAGTCCCCACAGTGGAGTTACAGCTAAGGCCAGGAGCTGGGAGCCTAGTAGGGGTCCTGCTTCCTTCCTTCCTTCCCAGGCCTCTGGACTCTGGAGCCATACTGCCTGTGAGCAAATTCTAGGGCCTCCTCTTGACCTTAAGCAAGCCACACAGCCTCCCTGTGCCTCAGGCTCCTCATCTGTTAAATGGGAAGAACAATAGCATATACTTCATAAGATTGTTAGGAGAACTGAGTGAACTCCTAGAGGGCCACTGGCCCTGATGACCCCCCCCTCTTTGGCTGCTGGTCCTGAGTCACACAGGGGTGGCCCTGGGAGTGTGCCAGCAACCAGATCCTCCTCAGAAAATAGGGCTGGCATACCCTTCCCTGCCCTCCTGCCAGCCGCAGGGCTGTTTGAGGGAGGACAGAATTAACTGTCCAGTCCCAAGGGCAGGGTGAGTCCCCTTCTGGCGGGATTCAGTCTATATTCTGTTAGATGAGGTGAGCCGCAAGACTGAGGCTCCCGTTGGGTGCAGCGCGGGGTGGGGGGGTCGTGGGCTTTGAGGCCAATGTCAGGGCTGACTGGTTGTCATGGGGCCCTGAGGGACACATGAGCTGTAGAAGTCAGACTTCTGAACCCTCTGCTTTCATGCTGTAAATATTCTCAAGGGGGTTTCAGGGTGCTCCGACTCTGGGGAGGCCTCCCCAAGGAGGTGGGTCAGATTTCATGGGTCGAGAAGGAAGGAAAGAAAGGATATCCTAGCAAAGGAACAACAATGCAAAAGCCGGAGGAGGGGAAAGATAGTGGTCCATGTGACTGAGCCTTAGGGTCAGATACAGGTGAAGCCAGGAGGGGCATTGGGTCCCCAAATGTCATGACAGAGACAATTGTGTGAGCTTCATCCTGAGGACCGTAGGGGAACCCCAAAGGACCTGTGGGCTAGATGAGGCTTCATCTTCACTCACCAGCAGGAACACTGGGGTGGATGGCCTGAGGGAGCCCAGGGCCCAAGCCTGGCCCACAGCCCTCATTCACTGACCCCTGCCGTCCCATCCTGTCCCCAGGAGGCCTCCAGTCGGAACCTGGTAACTCTGCGTGTGGACTCCAATGGCTTCTTTCTGTACTGGACCGGACCCAACATGGTGAGGGGGGGCAGTGGTACAGCTTGCTCAGGTCTAGGGCCCCTGGCCCAGACCCTCGAACCCCTCCCACCCGCCCAGGAGGGTGGGGCCCAGCTGCTGGCTGACCTCTCCCACGGCTCCCTGGACAGGAAGTGCTAAGGGCGGGGGCTGAGGCTGGGGCTACAGCAGGGGGTGGCCACTCCCTGGCCTGGGTGGAGATCTTGGGGGCCCTTGGTTCTTGCCCCATAGCCTCTCCGACCTACCCTGGCATCTGGTTTCCGCAGGAGGTGGACACACTGGACATCAGTTCCATCAGGGACACGCGGACGGGGCGTTATGCCCGCCTGCCCAAGGTGAGTGGTAGGGTCCCGAACTAAGAATGGGAGTGAGGCCTTGGGGGATGGGTACACCCCTCTTTACCCTTGGCTTTCAACTCCTCAGGACCCCAAGATCCGGGAGGTGCTGGGCTTTGGGGGCCCTGACGCCCGGCTGGAGGAGAAGTTAATGACGGTGGTGGCTGGGCCAGACCCGGTGAATACGACATACTTGAACTTCATGGCCGTGCAGGATGACACAGCCAAGGTGGGCTGGCGCCTAAGGGTCGGCCATGGGAGCCACCGCCTCACTTGCCGAGTCAGCTGTCACTTAGCATCTGTCGCGCACTAGGCTGTTCTCTGCCCCTATTTCTTTTTTTTTTTTTTTAAATTTTATTTATTTATTTGACAGAGAGAGAACACAGCGAGAGAGGGAACACAAGCAGGGGGAGTGGGAGAGGGAGAAGCAGGCTTCCCGCGGAGCAGGGAGCCCGATGCGGGGCTCG